CTTGAACTTCCCACGCTCCTGCTGGGGGCTAAGAACACACTGTATCTCCCTGAGCCTGGCCTTCATAAGTCCATTCCATCACAGATGGGAATGCTAAATAGAGCCACATCATGCATTTCTTAGTTGGAATTGTTGTGGCCTACTGAACCATTCCTTTCATCTCTGAGATATGCGAATCCTGCTGAGCCATAGCCTAAAAAAACACATAGTATAAAATCCAATGTAAGTCTAAAATTAAATAGATATCCTAGATGCTTTCCCTTTCTCTTTCTCTGACTTGTTCTCCTGATTAGGCAAAAAAATGCCCTGTAAAAGGATTCCAGGAAATTGAAGCACTGACATACATCTAAGGGTGGCACTAGGAAAACAGGATTACAAAAAGACTAATTTGAACGTTCTGTTTTACAATTCTATCTACTGTATTTTTACATGGAAGCAAGTGCTAATGCTTCCTGTTCCACCCTGGAGAGTCATAGTGTCCTTTGATTTTTGATCTTTTGGCCTGTCTCGGAGCATTAGTAATCATGAAGCCCAATGTGGTACAGGACGCTCTTCATGTTATGCTTAAATTGTAGCATGCACACATTTCTTTATCATACTTGTCATTATACATGCATTGAAAAGAATGCTTATAAAGCACTAATTAGAAAAAAACCAATCAGTTTAGACAAGAATGTTCAATAAACTGGCACCAAATTTTAACAATTGTTAAAATAACATTTAATAAGTTCATACATTCTGACCATGCTGTATTCTTTAGAAAATCTAGTAATAAGCGTGGGATGCTCACTGATAGGTTATTGTCATAAGGCAATTTTTGTTGCAGTAGGAATTTCCACTTCAGCTCCTTGAAATGTGTAAAGCATTTGTGGGTCAGACAATAAACAGTTCACACAAAATACAACTTCTGTTTTTCTGTTGGTGCCATTTCCAAGCTAATCTAATGCCTGACCTTAACCACTACATGTAGCAATGTATTCCATAAATTATATGAAGTAATGCTTTTTGTTTGTCTTGAATTCTCAGCCAGAAAGTTTCATTGAATGACCCAAAGTACTAAGCCCTGAAAATAGAATAAATTCCCCCTCCCCCTCCCCCTGCTCCTCCTCTTATAATTGATAATTTTAATCAACATTTATTATATCTACTCTATCTTCTGGCCCAAAATGGATGAATCATAGGAGATGTGTACATCTCCTCCCAAACCTCCCAAAGTTATAGTTATTTGGTGAAATGCAGCTGGGAGTGATTACAAATTTGATTAGAGCTATGATGATGCTTAAGGGTTTGTGAACCCTTTTGAATTTTCAATATTTCTGTGTAAAT